TATATGGGCGTTACATGCCCTTATATTCTTTAGTCATTGTATGGAACCAATCAGTAATCCTAATACATATAAACATAACCCTAATAATCTATTGCCAACTATTTCAATCATTGTGGAATATTTCTTAGCAGTAAGTGTCAACCGGATTTAGTCGCATGTAATATATCGTGTAGTAAAATATTATTTATAATATATTAATCAGTATAAAATTATTGAATGAAGATTTCCATAATTTAGAATTTATCTGATTATGACTATTTTAAATATTGTGTAGAGAGCGGATTGAAGTTTCAGTACTGAATGATAGAATTAAATGATTTTGCTAATACTTTTTGTTTGTTTTCAGAATGACCAATCTAGTGATAGTTCCTCTCCATTGGGATGGCCTCTGTGTCTGGGAAGTTCCGGAATAGTAATACATCTTTCCCATTTGGATCCATCTCTGCTACGGAACCGTGAATGTTATCTATGTGTTCGGACACGCAGTTTGCCAGGACTTGAGGTACGAGGTTGACATTTTTATGAAGCTAACTTGCAAATTGAGTAGAATCTTTTCCTCTGTTTCTCTTAATCATCTTTGCTTCGAGTCTCTAAAATAATGCAAGTAAATTTTAAACTACCATTTCCTTAGTTTTGGGAAATTAGTTTCAAAAAATTCTTAATTAATACAAATAAAATTTAAATAGAATAATTGAATTTTTGTGTGAATTTGAATAGTCCAATTGATTTGTATCACAAACATATAAACATAATTAACATACCTATACCGGGTTATGCATCGGTTCAGGAGATATAGAAAATCCCTTGTAAATTTTGAGGGTATTATCACTTCTTTTTATCTGACTACCTATCAACTTTGTAACTCTTCTGCTAAACCATTTTTAAATTATTTCCTTAAAATTAGGTCCTTAAAATCAGTAATTTGTACAAGGTCAAAAACACTCGGGCCACCCATCAGCCATAATACAAAGAAAACAAGGTATAATCGATAGCGGTTCCAATTTCATTCAGTTTGCGCATATCATCTGTGACGTAACTACGCCAAACAAAAAAATCGATATTGTTCAATTGCTACTAATAAAATAATACGTACAATTGGGAAGAATTAGGACCTAACCTAACCTCAAAAGTTATGTCAAATCATTGAGTTTGACATTTGAAAAGTTATTTTCACATTCATTATGTGTCATCAGTTGCCGACCAATGGTGTCGATATCACCTGTGACGTAGAGACCAACCTGCGCGATATCATACCTTGTTTTCTTTGTATCATGCGGGCCACCAGTAATTTATTAAAATTTATGACATTAAACGTCGTTTTGCAAAATATTTGTTGGTTGTTGGTAGCTATTTCCGCAATAGTATCATTCAATCATAGTGACTCTCTCTTCAATTCAATAAAACGTTTTAGACACAAAAAAACGTTTTAGACTTCAATGCTTCAAAAATGTATGAATGTCAGTATCATAAGGTTTAATAAATCACTGGTGGTCGAAGTGTTTTCAATGGCAAAAAAAGCCCGGCCTACTTTTATAAGAACGGCGTACTTTTATAAGAACCTAATTGGGTAAATAACTAAATTTAATAAAAAATGGCTTAGCGAAAGAGTTTTAAAGAAGATAGTTAGCCTGATTTAGTCTAGTTTCGTACTTCAATACTTCGTACTTCAATAAGTTCTATTTCAAATTTGCACTAAAATCAATAGAGAGCGAAAATCAAACGACACCATTAGGATTATGGGATTTCCTATATGTCCTGAAACAACACCGGGCAATCCGACTGGTAATTGGAAAACTTCGGCAGCATATTCTGCAGATAAAATTAAATAAAAAAAGTTTGTATAAATTTAGGTCTTAAAATGATTTTACTTATTTTTATCTGGAGAAGAAAAGAAGCTGCCGAAGTTATAATAACCCGGTAAATGTTCAACAGATATTTGGACTAACATTCAATCTTCTTGGTTGTAGGTAGCTTTGATTTGGAAGCTGCAACATCAACTTTACTGGCGCACCATAGCGGAGTTCCAGAATCCGCTCCACTCCATAGATGACATCATGTGTTCGAGTCTGCGGTCAGTGGCGGACCTAGAGGTCGGTTCGGCCGACGACTGTGACAATATCGAACTGCCCGAGCTTCTGCAGAACCTCCTGGTATCAGTGGAACATGCCATTGAAAGGGTAAGTACCAAGTACCTTGATTATTATCAATTTTTGCTTAGTCGATTATATAATTCGATTCATAGTAAATAATAATAATAGGAGTAACATAATTTTTGAAATATCTAAACCTTGATGTTTTTACAGTAGAGTTGTTTATTGTTTAAAGAAATCAATTATTATAGTTTCAACAACCTTGTTACTATATGCAGTGACCAGAAATCACTTAAAGCTGAAATAAATAATCAGATTAAATCGGATTTAGTGGTGGAAGTTCATGAAGATGCTCTCTGTCTCTTTTGACTATTCCATATGTAAGAGATGCCATAACATTAAAACATGTATAACATTAAAACTGTTCTTAAGTATGGAACTACACTAAAAAGCGTCTTAACAAAAACAAGACTGGATAAAAAAAAAGAGAAAGGGTGCATCTATGAGGAACCTGTGAGAGCGGGGATTTGTATATTGGAAAGTTAGCGGGATCGCATATTGGAGTAACAGGCAATAGGCAATACACAACCAGCAACGCAGCAACATGCAATAATTATCACCCATTTACAATGAAAGATAAAAATATTGACAGGTAAAGATCTAAGTTGTATCGGACACTGAAGCAATGCGATATTGTAGCATCCGAGGCAACATCGCGTTGCTTCTTTAGTATTTTGTCGATAAGCGATAATATTGCGTACTGCTTATTATATGCTGCTCCATTGTTGCTTTCGTTTAATACATCTTCTAAATACGACTTGTCAGATATACCTATAAAAAACATACCGAAAGAGATGAAGATGGGTGTGGTAGACCATGTGTACCATGTGTCTAAGCAGCACAACATAGGCAGGTTGTCCATAAGATATCATTGGAAAAACTTAATTTAAATAAACTTTTATATCATGTCACAATAGTATCTTAACGTAGCAGCTCAAATATAAAATTTCCGATAGGTATAGAAACAACTTATCAGACGTACCATTGCGATAAAAGAAAACTAGTACAAGAATTAGTAATCCCAGATAGAACTCCTGGTCTATAATTCTAAGGATATCGATATGCCACCGATATATGATATGATATAATTATGCCACCTAACTTTTTAGGCGCTACCATGGATTTGGTAATAATTGGTAGGTATACGTGGCGAAATAAAAGTATAAAAATTCTGATGACATTGAGTTATCAGTTTGAAAGAAAATATTTTATTATAGACCAGCAGATTAAATCATATTTTGTAGTACTACATTTTTTTGATCGCAATGGTACCTTTACTGGCGTCCTCAGTGAACAACTTCACGTTTCACTGCACCAACTCCTATGTCTTGCTCAAGTATATAAGCACACTAGTTTTAGAAATTAGATTACTGATCGTTGTTATAAATAACTCATCAACTGATTATTAAATTAGTTGATAACGGTGAGTGACACATCTGATGGAAAAAATGCAAATTTTCTAAATGAAAGATAATATACCAAGATGATATTTTACGTCACAAATCATTATTGTTTACCACTTTCAAGCAATTTCTTCTTTGTTCCAGGTGCCTTTAGACGACCTCATCTTTCCTTGTCCTCAGTGTCTTCAATATCTACCTCTAGAAAGACAGGAAGACGAATAGTGAGTTGCGCTTGTCAGTGCCTTTGCCGGCTGCCAGACAGCCCGGTCGTCAAAAGACAGTTCGATCCAGACTAGTCCCATGTTCGAATTTGTCGGCTCCATACCTCATATCGATAGCGATTCTGATGACGATAAGGAATCAACAAAATCAGGTAAGAGAACATTCAATATAATGGTAGAAATTCCAAGATTTTGCTGTTTTTTTGCCTTGTAAAACCATGTCAACCGGATTAGTAAACTATGGTAAGGATGTGTTCCTAAAAATATAGGTAAAATACGAAACAGTTTGATAAATAGTGGACATGTAAAATATTAACGTTTAAGTTTCAATATTCGTATTATATAACTATTATTTCATGTTTGATTTATCTTTTTAATGGAGTTTAATGTAAAAAATAATTTGTAATTGAGCTCTTAAGTCCTCAAACAGTTAATTTTTTTTGCAATAAAATTTTAAAAACATTACATAATAATTCACACACAAGAAAAACCAGCCTTTATGCACTGGCTCATTACTTATATCTTAGATCTTATAAACTTCGTGGATAAGTAAACTCGTTTTAGTTTTGTTGAAGACACATTCGCAACCAACTTTTTTTTTGTATTTTATTAGAAGATTTGGACATCAGAAATACGTACAGTCCCATCTTATTTATTGATATGAATCTCATACGGCTGAATATACACAGGATGAGTCTTAAATAAGTGCAAACATTTTCAGGGTTGATAGATCTCGAGAAAAGAAAGATATTTTCTCTTTGCTGTTTTTTTAAATCCCAAAGTCCAAAATAACCAAGATATTTTAACTTGAAAATTACAAGAAAAAATTGGCTTAAATTTTGAGAACCATTGGATCTTTTCTGTTTTTCTTTTCTTGTAAATTTAATTTAGTACCTATGTTACCATATTATCAAGATATTATGTTTTTTAACTAAACATTTTTTTTTAAATTCAAAATTCACTCACAAATTCGACTCACAGGCTCTGTGATCGAAATATAATACCCCTAAAAATATGTGCACTTATTTAAGACTTACCCTGTATAATAGATAATACTATATACATTTTCCGTGATCTTCCTTTAGTCTATTTTTTTATATTTACATACCGATGTAGACGCTATCTCAACACGCAAGTACCAAAAGTGGGCCTAACAGAGAGAAACTGAAAGATTTTTTTAGGTTAGTTGGTGACTGATTAATTTCTTATGTAAATGAGCTGCAGGCCGGCCGTTGCCGATGGATGCAATCGTTACCATGCTATTAGGTTAGGAGGTTATTTATATAATCTGTTACAAGTATTATACTGCTAATGATACTAATAAATATGTATTTTTATTAGTTACCAATTAACTCGTTTAAGAACGCCTGTTTTGCACTATTATTAATGTATTTTATTTTATAGCTATTGTAAAATAAATACAATCACATAAATGCATCATAAAAAAGACAAATGTTTTACATATACATATATGTTATGGGAATATTATTTTCGAAAACTAGTGTAGCAATTAAACGATTTGTCGTAAATATTACTGCTTTAAAATTATTTTATTGCCATACACATTTCTGACAGTTTTCTTGTCTTTGCTTATTAGGTCCGCCCTATTTTTTTCGAATGTTCTACTATATACTGTTTCGTCTTACAGTGTCTCCGATTTTTAAAATTATCATCTATTTTTTTGTTTTTTTTTGGGCAGTATTTTTATTTTGATCAAAATTCTAATTATAAAATAGATTTTTATGTTATCATTTATTACAATTTTAGGTACAATCTTACATCTAATTTAAAAAAATTACCAGAATTTTTTTCTTTCTTGAAAAGAATTCGAGGTCTTTCGCCGCTGAAAGAAAATTTACAAAATAAAAACTATTTTCTGTTAATACCACTGCGTTGAATTTAAATGGAGACCATCGTAGGAAGTATATCTTCTCCCGTTGACAGATGCAAAAAAAGGAACAATAAAGGAAAAATCTATTTAAAACTATTCAAGAACACTACTTTTTAACGTTCTAACGTTTTGACGTTCTGGTAAAATAACATTATATGAACATTATATGGATTCATATTTCAAATTAATAACCTCATAACATTTAGTTAATGAGGTGAAACCAAAAATCTTAAACTTTCTGTATATTATTAATTTGTTAGTTTTTAATTTTAAAGTATATTATATGTTTAGGTTGTCACCGCAAAACATTCCACTCACACATTTCATTGGCTACTTGCAAATTTGTCGAATTTTTATTGATAGGGACGCGTCGTCTAATTTTTTAAGAGAAACATCGCTTAAACGGTTGCAGAGAAGCTGGAGAAAACAGTGCAGTAGTTGTCGGTAAAATATTTGCGTGATTTTATTAATTTTTTTATTCTTTTTCTTCTTAATATTTTAATTTTTATAAAGATTATGTTTCACTAATGTTATCTAAAATACTTATGGTACGCCCATGAATTATCGACTAAGGGTAAAAACATAGTGGAGCGACGAGTCTAGTGGCACAGCGACGAGGTAAGAGATAAGATAAGCGACGCGATGCTCGACTTTCCAAATTCAAACCAGTATGTAGAATGTTCTCCGACAGTGCTACCTGTTATTCCACATTCTCTAGCCACTTCTGCCCAAAGTTCGTCTAATGCATAGCGGTTTCTGTGGTCTGGATGAGATGCATTCCATAAAGCACGCCTGTTGAATACGGATGCTATTATATTATTCATAGCCATTGCGAACGATAAATGTTGTCTCTATACCAGCAGTACTCCTACTTAATGATACCAGTCAACTGAAAAAAGGCCACATGCATTCCAGCGTCAACGCGACAAGGAATCATATTTTTATCTTGACGCGCATCTCCTCGCTTGTCTCGTCGCTTGACGCTTCGGCAATCTCTTTACTGTGTTTGCCTCCATTACAATACACGATCAAATTCAAGTCGCGACGTTTACCTCGTCGCTGTGCCTCTGCCTCGTCGCTCTACTATATTTTTACCCTAACAGAGAATATATTCTCCTCCCTACGGATGCCCCGTAGCTACTATAGCTACTATAGACGTACTGTAGGACGTACTACTAGACGTACTACTATAGAGCTACTATAGACGTACTATAGCTACTATAGACGTACTGTACAGTTCTATAAGGGCCATTTCGCACCAACACAGTCCAGTCTAGTCGCGTCAGATTGAGTCTAGTCCAGTCAAATCACTACAGTCCACTGCTTTCACACCAAACGCATCCGACGTTTGTTGATAACATTTTTTTTAACGTGTTTTCAGCAAAAATACGTAGTTTAACAACAGAACGCTTTGAAAATGGACGATATTCTTAAAGTAATAATTTTACGTCGATAGAAAAAGAGGAAGGTAAAGAGGAGAAATTTATTTTGGATACATCCCCATTCAGCAATATATTCTCGGTTTCTGTGTTTTGATTGCTTGGAGTTATAGGTATATCGCCTCTCTCTCTCTCTCTCTCTCTCTCTCTCTCTCTCTCTCTCTTCATTTCTAACCAAAACAATTAAACATATATTATATATTCTATTAGATACTAAAATCTAAAATGTTCTTGAATAGTTGTATTTCGATTATTTTAATTCTTTTTTTTTTAATTAATTAATTATTTACGTTTGTTTGCTTCTTACGACGAGTGTACCTCTTGAAATATCTCCTGAAACTTTAGCATTTTTTGTTGATTAGGCAAATTTGTTTTGCTAATAGAGAATCAGTGACGAACTGGTTTTCGTGTGGTGTTTGCAAAAATATTTTTTTTTTATTTTGTAGATATTCTTCCAGTTTCCAGTGGCAAAAAACAGAATTATTTTCAAGAAATGAAACCCCCATAAAAAGTATAGACATTACTCAAATTTTTTTACCGTTTTTACTAAAATTATTTGGATTAATCTAAATTCTCTCTGAGGAAAACTAAATGTTACCGATGCATCTAAGCCTCTACAGCCTGTTACTGCCTAGTTGAATGCGTGTGGTCCACATTATTAGTTAATTAACTATTTAAAAATCAATTCATTTTGGTCTTAATGGTTTAGCCGAAGATAAATGGAGACGGTTCTGATGTTATCATTTACCTTGATACTTTTACGAGACTTTTTTATCGACTGTAATAAAATTTTGTCAGATATATTGCCATAACGGTTCTGTTGTTGATCTATATACTTGATGTTCGATATCACTGAAATTTGAATATTAATTTCAAATTTGAAAGCGTTCATATTGGAACTATGCTTCTTAAATTAAAATTTCTTATATTCTATAATGTTGGCGTACGACATTTAATTGAATAATTGCCTTTAGAATGATTAATGCCCATTTGCAGACCTTGCAATAAGTATTTAGTTAGCATTCGTCGGTAGACGTGTCGTGGGCAGTAAATAAATGTGTAGCTTTTATGAGTATGGGAAAGTGAATATTAAATCAAAGGAAAAAAGACCGTAAAGACATATAAGGCACTAGGAACGGTACGAAAGGCTTTTCTGTCAAGGTTTCTAGAATAATACAAAGGTATAAACACACCGGCATCAGCACAATTAGAAGAACAGACAAAATAAGTTTAATCATTTTCTTCAAGAACCCTTTGCTCGATTTCAATATATTTTTTGTAAGAATTGTAGTTTGGTTCGAACACATCTGACTTATTGCAGTTATAAAAGGATTTGTTTGATATACTTGACTGTGAAGAAATAACGAATTTTCAGTTTTTTTTTTAATTATTTTGTAGACAAACAATATTGTTTTTTGGGTTTGCCGAACATTTTATCTTTTTTTATTATGAGAGAAAATTTTCAACAATAATTTTTTAATAAAATGATTAGGACGGAATATATTGTTATCCATGCATACATGCTTTCGAGACGGAATCGACATCATGAACGATGGTTTCCTTTAGAAGTAATAAATCTGGATGGATATTGGTATCAAAAATTAAATATACAGGGTGGTCCGAACCGTATTTCAGAGAATTCGGAGCATATTGTGCAGATAAAAATAAGTA